TCATCTCCTCCTGCAATGTCCTTTGCAAATATTAGGTGGCGTTGACGTTTCACTCCAATGAATCTTCAGCATGGGTGTAGGGGTTCTTGGGTAGCAATCAAGATGAATTTCATAAGGAATAACGATATGTAACAAGGCATATGAGCAAGAAGATCGGCAATAAAAAGATGTGCAAATGAAAATGGTAAAACAAACCCTAATTTTCAAAAGGTGGAAAAACTATCATTCATTGTGTTTGTTACAACTTCCCTAATGACATGGAAGTGAAAGATCTATAGAAGCAATGTGAACAATAGAGAGTTGAGAAACTAAATATCCTTCTACTTTTTATTCCTAATTTTCTTCCTACCCATTTAAGATGATGATAAGTGTAAAAATTTAATATCTCATTCAAATTTAAATTAAATTAAATGACATTTGTTATCATCTAAAATAGGTAAGAAGATATTAGGTACAAAATGTAGGAGGATATTTAATTTCTCGAGTTGAGTTATGGCTTACGCATACATCGCTAAAAAACTATCAGACATTTGGAAAGAAGTTTGTATGAGTCCGATTCTTTCGTGTGGAGAACAAAAGTTTGTATTAGTCAGATTCTCGCGTGTGGAGAACAATAACCAGTTCATTAAGAACCGAATGTTGGATGAAGCCATAGCAATTTAAGGATTTTGATTTGAAGGAACTGATGGTACCATATGGAACACCGTTTTCTTTCTTCGTGGTACCATATAAATCCATGCTTCATCGGGTTACCTAAGTCGTTCCTCCACCTTAAAGACTATGTATTGGTTAATTGTAAGTTGTGTTTGTATACTTTGTATTATAGTGAGCGAGTTGAGAATAATGAATTTCAAATGTTTAGAGCATTAGGTGTGGGCAACAAGGTGTAACACCAAGTTGTGTCACCTGACATGTCACCTAAGCAAATGGTGTTATGACACCAAGTGAAGAAATGGGCAACAAGATGCAACACCAACTCTTTGAAAATAAATATTTTTATTTTTGTATTTTTTTTACTGTTTCGTTTTTTTTTACTTTTTTTTTGCTTTCGTTTTTTTTTCTTTTTGTGTTTTTTTAATAACTAATATATTTTTTTATAAAACCTATAATTTTAAAAACAAAAAAAAAAAAGACATAATATTTAAAATCTAAAATTCCGATCACAATTAAAAAAAAAAAAACATAATTTTAAACCTAAATTAATAACTAAAATACCATTGAAATTACTACTAAAATCACACCAATCTTAATTAATCAAAATATTTTTTCCTAATTTGTTCCTTAATCGTTTGTAGCACCGCTAGATCAACAGACGCTAAACCCTCCTCCTTTGTTCGAAGAATGGACAACTGATGTGTCATTAGTTCACTCTCTTTTTGTTCCTGTTTCTCCCGTGCCTGTCTTTCCAGGAACTCCAAATGACGATATTTCAACTCATTTTTTTCTTTTATTAATAAATTGTAATCGTCGATTTTGACTCTCATTTCCGCCGCATCTTTTGCTCTCGTCTCCACCTCCTCCGCATGCCTTGCAGCGCGCTTCGCTTTGTCGCGTCCGGGCAGTCGTCTTGGTGGGGATATCTCTTGGATATCATCAGGGATCTCATCGTCATCGGCGTTTAGGTCGATGTTAGTCCGTGCGTCCGACACGTCGACCGAGCTAGAATTGCGAGACCGTTTGGATTGAACCTCCGACGATGTAGGCATTTTATTCCACTTTAGATCCGCTCGCAACAATTTCCATGATTTTTCAAAGTCGAAAACATGACCCATTTCGACCCGATCTTGTTCCTTATCCGATTTAAACAAATCGAAATCGTTGGTTTCGCTTTGTTGTTGCGCCTCAAGTCGGTTGTAAATATCGTTGAATTTGCTGCACCGCTTAGTTATCATACCTCATTTGCTGCTCAACATGTCGTTGCGATACAGATTTTTCTTTAAAATAGCGTGAAACTTGTCGAGCACCACCCCCAATAAGCTCCTTTTTTCATTCCATTTTCGCGAAGTTCGTCCTTTGAAGTAGCACACCAAGCCACCGTCAAAGCGTATTCCTCCTCCGGTGTCCACCATTGTGGAATGTCTGCATTTTCAGATTCCACCGCTATTGATTTCCCTTTTGATTTTCCTTTCCCTTTCTTACTACTTCCCGTTTCCACTTGAACCGATGGTTGTGTTGTAGGCGATGGTTGATTAGTTGTTTGTTGCATTCAACCAAAAGTAGAGAAATGATTTTGTTGTAAATTTGGGTTTTGACCAAATTGATTTTGTTGAACGTAAGGTGAGTTGGAAAATTGCAGTGGCGGTGAAACGGGATTGAAAGCAGCACATTGGTATGGTATTTGTGGTGAACCTTAAGATGACAAAAGGTTGAAATAATTTTCATACCCCACAAATCCGAGAGGTAAGTTTGTGTTTGAGTTTGATGATGGAGAGGGAGGGGGGGGGGGGGGGGCGGTATTTGGGTTTTGCTCCATTTTTTGAAATTTTAATGAAAAATATGTATAAGATATAGAGAGAATGAGATAAAGATATATAAAAATTTGAAATAAAGTGTATATATATATATATAAACGGTAAAAAAACAAGTTTTTTTTTATTTTTATTTTTATTTTTTTTTTGAAATTGACCGTTATCAAACGGTATAATATGGCAACAGCTAAATTTTGTGTGTCGCATTTCGTTTCCATGGCAACGAGATCCAGACGACGAGATGCAACGACTTGCCGCGGGGGGGGGGGGGGGGGGGGGTGTTCCCCACGTTACGACGGCGTCGCGGACCGCCATGTCATTCTCGTCGCTCCTCGTCGAGACCCATACGGTTCGCTCTTAGGGATGTGAGGGTTAGAAGTGAGATGTGAGAGAAAGATTGACGTAGCCGGTAGCACTATGTGGCATGTGGGTTGTAGGGGTGGGAGCAATGGACTCCCTCTACCCTAAGAACTTTTTAGATGGAAAACTTCCATCTTTTTTCCTTCAACTGCAAGATTCGATAGGCAAGAGGCTACAAAATACGTCATGCAGATCAAACAAAACAACGTGCACAACCACAAGGTAAACAATCGGTGTTACGGGTGATAAATAGAATTAAATATTCTGCCTCGATGGTGGTTGGTGATTAAGAGAAAAATAAATTAAAAACATAAACGTACAAATATTAAATATTTCCTTGGAAGAAATAGACATTTTGGTGGTATCAGATTTTTAGTGGAGGATGGTCCTAAGGGCTAAGGTGTGTTCGCGATGTGCACCTAATTAATGACAGCTTGTATAAGTTTTACAGTAAGAAATGGTTTAATGATAGGGTAATAAATTATATCGGTGGAAAATGAGTATGCCTGAAATTTAAATTTGGGAATGCAGTCAAGTTTAAGCGACATAAAGACAATAAGTGGTACTTTATTTATCATTTACTCACTTTATTAGGGATGAGCAAAAACCGAACCGAAAACCGAAAAACCGAAAAAACCGACATAACCGAAACCGAAAAACCGAAACCAAAGCAATAACCAACGGTTTAGTTTGAATTTTACAAAAATCGGAAAATAACGGTTTGGTTTGGTTTTGACATATAAAACCGCCCATAAAAACCGAACCGACCCACACATATATTATTTATTATGTTTTAAACTTTTAGTTTTAGACTTTAAACTTTATCTATTTAGTACTTTATGTTTATTTTCAACAAACTATTAATGGTGATAAACTTTGATCTTTTGAACACTTTTATGCTTTTAGAATACTAGAATCCGTACTCTTTATTTTAGTATATTTAAAGTAGATACAATACAATTTATCGCTACATACTTTCACTGGGTTTGAACCTAAAAACTAGAAAACAACTTGAGCTTATAAACCCACGGTTTAAAACGGAAAACCCATAAATCCAACCTGGAAAACCGAAAAACGAACCATGTAAAAACCGAACCTATATGGGTTTAAAAACCGACTTTCTACGGTTTGGTTTGGTTTTAGCCAAAAACCGACCCAAATTGACACATGCTCATCCATACACTTTATATTTACATAGAGTAAATTACACAAATGGTCCCTAAGGTTTGGGGTAATTTACAGGTTTGGTCCCTAACTTATTTTTTTAATTCGGAAAATCCCTATTAATTGTTTTTGTTACGCGCTTGGTTCCTACTGTTTGTTTTTGTTATGCATTTGATCCCCGTCTTAACTTAAAAAAATTATTATTTAAATAGGAAAAAAATTGCAGGATAAGTAAGGTAAGATAAAAGAGGTGAAATTGAGAGTGTGTTTATTTAAATAAATTAAAAAAAATGAAGGGCAAAATAGTTTTTTAGGTAACATAGTGACCATGTTTGTAACAAAAACAAACAATAGAAGCTTTCCGAGTTAAAAAAATAAATTAGGGACCAAACATATAAATTACCCTAAACCATAGGGACCATTCGTGTAATTTACTCATTTACAAATATATTTTTTTGTTAAATTTACTCTGTGTATATTGAGAATGTCCGATAATGTAAGACCTATGAATTTTTGTTTCATTGTTAATCTTAATGTTAGTTTTTGTCATGTTTCTGTTATTATTTCTATATTTAAACATTATAAAAACTATACCACTAAGTGCTTTTTCGGTAGAATAACAAAATCTTTGAAGTACACATTTATACAAAACAGTTATCATTGTTTTGCAATTTAGTTTGTTTAGTAATCACTTTAAATAATCATTTTAAGAATTTTAGCAAAAAATAAAGGTGACGGGTGAGACGGACAAGAGTTTTGCAAATAGTACTATACAAGGAATGCAACTTTGATAAATAAAATTGTCTAGAGTAAAAGGTTAAAAAATATTATTTAAGCTCGTTAAAAAAAATTAACTACATTTTGGTAACAAAATTTATAACTACCATGAATTTGGTAATTTAAAAAAATTAATAATAAATTAATTAATTAATTTAAAAAAAAAAAAAAAAAAAAAAAAAACTCTTGAAATATATAAATTTCTAATATCAAGATATACATTTTTGTTCATTTTAGTCGTTAGCTCTTGAATAAAAGTTGCGGGGCGATGAAGGTGGTGGGTTGCTGTAACTCCATCCTCAGCGCCATTTCTTCTAACAATCCCCGTTCATCACCATCACCATCACCATCGTCATCATCTTCTTCTGCTTATGCTTTGCCCCCTCATCCAATTACAAAACGTAGGTCAATAATCTTTACTGCATCAATAGTAGTGGCGTCTTATCTTCAACTATGTCCAAAATCGCCATCTCAATCTGCAATTGCTCAACAACTCGATGATACTCAGCAGGAAGAAGATCGTGTAGTTCGTCTCTTTGAGGTTTTTCACTCTCTCTATCAGTAAAGGCTTCGCCGCTTTCAATTTTGATTCTGTTTCCTTTCATTTCTGTTCTCAGTAACTTGCGATGCATCTTTTCGTTGATTTGGGTATTTGCAAAATTTTAGCTCCAAAATTTTCAATTGTACCACCTCCGTCTAGAATTGCAGATTTGAATGTTCGATTGTTAGCTTAATTTATTGATTCAATCCTTCAAACAGTGGTGAATTAGTAATTTCTATGCCACATCTCAAAATCAAAATTATTGCAGGAGCTTAATTACTTTTCTGTAAACATCCGAGGGAGTAATCAGTAATGCTTTCCAAAGATCAAATTAATCCGATAATTTACTTTTGATACGAGTTACATTACAATTACATACATTCATGCGATGATTGTAGGAAACATCACCATCTGTGGTTTTCATCAAAGACCTTGAAATCATCAATAATCCAAATAACACCGATGAAGTAGTAATGGTGGATGATGAGAAAGCAAAAGTTGAAGGGACAGGTTCAGGCTTCATTTGGGATACATTTGGTCACATTGTAGGATATTTGTTTCTATTTTCTACTGTTATATATCATTTCAATCATATTTTTACAAAACAATAATAATAATAATCAAAGAAAATACATTGCTATTTCTTTCATGTAACATTTAAAATGTATGTCAGGTGACAAATTATCATGTTGTTGAAAAGTTAGCTACAGATCAAAATGGTAGACAACGTTGTAAGGTCTCATACTATTCCCAACCATTAATAAATAAATCACACTTTCTTTTAATTCTTTATTTCTTTATTTTATTTTACTTTCCACATGTTTCATTAATACAGATATTCTTAGTCGACAAAAATGGCAACAGCTTATCTAGAGATGGAAAGATTGTTGGTGTTGATCCATCTTGTGATTTAGCTGTTCTAAAGGTGTCCACAATTTTTTTTTTAAAAACTTTTTTTACTCATTTGCTCATATATTTTTTTTCATATTTATATTTTTAGGTTGATATTGAAGGGATTGAAGTAAAACCAGTTGATATTGGAAGTGCTCAAAAATTAAATGTGGGACAAAGTTGTTATGCTATTGGGAATCCTTATGGATATGAGAATACATTAACCACTGGAGTAAAACGTTTTCTTATATTTTAATATATTATAAGACCTTAATATTATATATTCTTAAAAAAAAAAAAAAAAAAAAAAAAAAAAAAAAAAAGATTAATTTTATAAAAGTGTATATCAGGTAGTAAGTGGGCTGGGAAGAGAGATACCTTCACCAAATGGAGGTGCCATTAGAGGAGCAATTCAAACAGATGCAGCTATTAATTCAGGTAATAACTTCAAATTTATATCATTATTTTTAATACAAAATTTCAATATTATGTTAAACTTTTTGTTTCATTTTATTATACAGGAAATTCAGGTGGGCCATTGCTTGATTCTCATGGCCATGTTATCGGTGTCAATACGGCAACTTTTACTAGAAAAGGTATAAAGTTATATCATATAAGTTTGTAATTTTATTTATTTCATTTAAATAATTGTTATTATTATTATTTTTTTATAAATTATTGTAGGGTCAGGAATGTCATCTGGTGTCAACTTTGCAATACCAATCGATACTGTGGTTAAGACTGTACCTTACTTGATTGTTTATGGAACTGCCTATCGAGATAGATTTTGATAATTGTATTTGTAATAACAATGTATTTTGATTCAATTGTATTTCTTCAAATTCATAATTCCATTGTTGTAACACAAAAAATATTAAAATAAAATCAACTACAGAAACTGAATTACAATTCATTTAATACCATGAACCAAACATGTGAGAGATTTGATTCATTGAAAATAGCATTCAACAAAGTATGAAAGAGGATTTTAGTTTTGAGCTTGAAGGGAGAGGAGTGAGAGGTGTTCATCAATGGAGCAATCAACATGACATGAGATTCTGCAAGATGAAGGGATTAATATCAACCCTAGACCTCTCTGTTCCATGGGGGAAGGAGATGATCTTCTGGTGCTTCGATATTCCACAGCATCTTGAAGAATTATGTTTCCTTGTTTATCCATACAGTAAAATGCTCCCATGAAGAATCTCCCATCACTTACCCCTACCAACATTCGCCTAAACAATAGTTTCTTCACTTGTGAAATGTCTGATTTGCCCTCAAAACATGCTTCTCCTTCTACTGCTTCATTTGTATTCTCCATTCTGAAACTGAATGAATTCATACAAGTAATGAACAAGGAAAGAAACCATACAAAAAAAAAAAAAAAAAAAAAAAAAAATCCATTTTTATTCATTAAGGCATATCGTCGAACACCTATTGTGCTTCTGCAAATTACATATAAGAGGATGCGATAGATTATGGCATCACTTTCGGGAAGTGAAAATAATTATACTATTAGAGATTCGTATGCAAATCGAAAGGAAGTTTTCTTTCGGATAACTAGTAACAGCACGAAGAAATAGATTACGAAGACATGAGGATGTGAATAGAGAAGAGCGTATCACCTTCAACCAAATTAATTGAATCGGGGTAGAAGAACGATATTACTTTTCCTCAATTCCACCAATACTCTGACGAACGTCGCCGATTTCAGAGTTAATTCGCTTAATCGAAACACTGAAATTGCGTATGTGGGTAGCCAATAGGCAATTTGGGGAAGCCGATCAGGAATTCAGGATCGTCTTCTAGGTTTCAAACTTACAAAAATGATCCTTCCTATTCGTCAAACTTCATTTCAGCTCCCCTAACAACGACAAAACCAAGACAAAACTGTAAAATTGTTTTTTTGAGTTTTGGTTTAATCCTTCATTTTTTGGATTAGTGTTCATTTTGACTTTGTTTCAATGAGTAATTGATTTCTGGTTTAATCATTCATTTTTTTGGATCAGTGTTCATGTTTCAATGTGTAATTGGTTTTTGTTAAACTTAAAAAGATTAATATGCCATTTTAATTTGTTTTTTCTATTTTCTTAAAAAAAACCTCTTATTTGAATATTAATTGTAAAATAAATAAAAAGGATATATATATATATATATATATATATATATATATATATATATATATATATATATATATATATATATATATATATATATATATATATATATATTTACTATCTTATAAAAGAAATCTAACTATTTTTAAAAATAGATTGATTATAATAATAATATTTTTTTAAGACGTCCAAATGATGAAGCTGATAGTACAACTAGCCATTAATAAAATAATATTAAATTTTAACCACATTTTGAATTCAAATATTTATCATCAAATCTCCTTATATTTCTCAGCAATTTGATATGGTTCCCTCAAATCCCGGATTCATTCAAATTTTGAACCCTTTTCGATATCCTTAAATTTAGCATGTTAATTTAAATATCCCTCTAATCGTAGATACCTCTTTGTTCCCTCATCTGCTATAAAGTCCACCGTCTAGGAATAAAAAATGACTTCATCTCCCAAATAACACCATAGTTTGATTATTTTGTCTTAGACATGTACTTTCTTTTGTAACATAACATTTTTGTAGAGGAAACATATCACCGAAAAAATTTACACACCCCGCCGCTTTGCGCGGGTACGCTGCTAGTATATATATATATATATATATATATATATATATAGAGAGAGAGAGAGAAAAAAAGAGAAAGATCTGATCTCTGGCGATGATCGAGAAAATCGCGTGAAGGGGTGCGGAGAGATGGCTATCGCCAGCGTCTTCTTCCTCTTCTAGTTCGATTGGGTCATCTCCTTCGCATGATCGGAGCAAAAAGAAAGAAACGTGAACACATACAGATTAGGGAGGTAAGAGGGTGGTTCAATGATGGCAAATTTGTCGAGTGGGTGGGTAGTCGACCTCCGGTGGCCCCTTTGTTGTTTAATCTTCGTCTGGTTGGGAGAGGGAAAAAGAGAAACACGAGTGGAAACAGATGACGAGATGTATTGGGAAAACTCCCCCAGCTCTTAGCTTGATCGGAGAAGAAAGACGAAGGTGTCAGTAGGAGTTGTCGTCAACTGTGATGGAAGCAATGGGCTACTCCGGCAGTGGATTGCGAAGGGGGTGAGGGGAAACAATTGGTCCCGTGGTGATTTTGTGATGTTTAATCAATGAAGAAGAAGACGAAATCAGCAATAGTAGGGATCAGATAGAGGCTCGCCACAACTGGTTAGCTCACCGGTCCTTCTTCTTCTCCACTTCGCTAGTGCCAAACAAAAAGGAAGGAATGAGATCGGTACAATAGTCATAAGGGGGTGCTTGGGTGGTTTCTTTGAGTTCACAATGGTGTTTGATTACTGTTTAAATCGATAGGAACAATAGAGGAAAGAGAGAGGTCATTACCTCTTTGATTTCACCGAAAAAATAACACCTCCTAGTGTGTTTTATTTACAATTAAACAAAGTAGAAGAAGAAGATGAAGAAGAAGAAGAAGAAGAAGAAGAAGAGGAGGAGGGGTTGAGAATTTGAGTGAGGAAGGAGATGGGAGAGTGAGAGAGACGTATGAGTGTACCAATTATTGACAATTATAAAATCTGATTCTTAAATATTGTTTTAGATTGTAAAATGATTTTGGTTGTACAAAGATAAAATTCTAAAGATATTTTGTGCAAAAACAATCAAATGTTGTGTATTTTTGTGCTGTAAATCCCGAATCTCAATTCTCAATTCCCGTGTCATCAAATCATTTTGTGAAATTTTTCTGAAAACGCTTGCTTATTGTCTCGGTCGTTGTGATTCCAAAATACAGACAGAATTCAATTTCGATATATCAAACTCCATGAATTACGTTTAAAGTTTCACGATTAATGAGATCGGATTCGACAGATTTTACGAATATGATTTTGGTCGAGGTTTAACGTCTTATAAAATAAAATAAAATAATAGATTGTAGTCTTATTTAAAAAACGTGTTCAAAAGTGATTTTTGAGGTTCGTAGTTATTCCAAACGAAGCAGTGCACAGTTCGTTGCAGGAAAATCAGATAAATATTGATTTTTGTAAATTTAAAGAGGCGTACATTTCTCATACGACCTCCGTTTTGAATGTTCTTTATATCCACGAAGTCGGGAGAACGTAATTTATTCAGATATCTTATCCATAACTCTCAGATATATCTTATGCAAAAATTTATTTTTAACGCCACAAATAAATTAAATTTTTGGTGATTTTCGATTCATTCTTCAACGATAGATGTTTAAGCAGTTTGGGACGTCCTAAAAGGTAGTTATGATGATAATATTTTTAATATACATATTAAACATAAAATTACATACAATTGGTCTTTAATACCTAGTAGTTCGCGGTGGTTTGACCGCCGAGCTCTGACTAACTTTTACCAATTGTTACATTATCCCCCCGTTGAAAGAAATTTCGTCCCGATATTCCGCATGTAGATAAATTATTATAAAACAATTGGTGTCATTTTTCTTTTCGTTAGATCCATACATGATCATCCTATAGTCGATTTAAGTTGCATGGCTCTAGATTAGATAACTGATCCAGTAGATGATATTACCACAAGTCACAACTAAATAGGGAATATGGAATAAGATAGAATCAAATATTTTAAAGGTTGTCGAATCTTATATACAATTCTATCGTGTGTACTTTTCCAATAATGAAATATTGCATGGTTTCCTAGCTCACTTCATTAAAACAGAGATAACAAGGGTGTCATCCAACCGACACTCCTTGAGACTTAGCGTATAGAAAAGCATCGTGCATGTCGTTTAGTTTTCAAGATAACTTAATATAAATATCAGGACCAAATTTTGTTAAGAATTTCGAGGGTCCTTTGAGTCGCGGTTTAACTTAACTCTTTCTCTAATCTGGATCATTCTTCTTAAAGGGAAAGCTTTTAAAGTTACATAGTTTCTGACTTGGAAGTCGAGATACTTACATTTTTTGTTCTCATAACTCCCTTGTCGTTTGAGTACAGTCTAAAATCTTTCTCCGGTTCACACAATCTTTTCTGTGATCTCTTTTGTGATTCATGGATCAAAATGTAGTGGATCACCTGCATGCTCTTTGTTCAAATTCGTATATTTAATCATTGCTCGACATATCAATTATCGACACTTGCATTTGTATAAGGCCTAAAACGGTGTGGCCTTGATGCTGGTGTGATAACTATCATTGCAAGAAAACTCAATTAAGTGCAATGAGTATCTCATGAAATATACAAGTCTATCATACAGGTTCATAGCATATTAGTCAAGTTAGGATGGTTATTTCATTTTGGCCATTCGGGATGAATATTTATTCTTGTGTCTAAGTGAGTGCTCAATGATTTCAATGATTGTCAAAACTAATAGGTGAATCTACTATCTTAGTGAGGGATGATAAATATCGGCACCTCGCGCAGTATGATAATTTATTTGGGAAGTTATGGTCAACTTTTCCATTTCACATGGTTCTTAGATTAGCAGGAAGTGGGAGAACTTAGTCACTTACGGACCACTACCTGAATAGGATTAGAAACCGTTAGGTTTCTTAGGTAGCTTTAGTATGAAGTCCATTGACGTTGGTTCCTACTTTTACTTGGGTATTTCTTTATCATTACCCTAGTCCTAAATGTTTCTAACATTCTGCATTTGGTACAAGTCTGATATTTGTCAACTCAAGTAGCAATTTCCGCTTTCATGCATGTTCATCACTTCAATTCTTTCAAATCTAAGTACATTTAGTCGGGGCTTGGATGGGTGGGACACTTTAATCTGTGAGCTACGTCCAAGACTATGCACTTGTGTTTACTGTACTTAGGCGTACATATTCGGCTCACAAAGTATCATGTCCAATCATCCCTGAGCTTGACCATTTTATCCGGTCTTCATAGAGCTTCACTCGCAAATCCCTTCTCTCTCATTGTCTCTAGTAAAACTTATTGAATTTGGGTTGTAGGTTATGAATGGATGTTCATAGTTAATATTTGTACCCAGCTGGGTTTGGTACATTCTTTTCGATTCAAGACATTTGCTACTATATCAATCTCATTACAATGTTAATGAATCTCACATGTCATTAGGACAACAAATATCTTATTCATGTCATTCAACCACAAGCATAGGCAAAAACCTTACATCAATTCATCTATGTGCACCTCAATCCTTTAAGTATGTGTTGTCGTATACGAATAATTTCTCTATTCCTTCATAAATGTAGGATTTGTGCATTACACCATAGTTATTCCAACTCCTGGAATACAATCTCTTGCTTATCTTTTCTAGATGGACTTTGTACCATTTTAGTGTTGACATAGTTGGCAGTTGGGCTACCATAAAGAAGTTCCTAATGGATTGCTGGTAGTAGACAACATGAATTCTTTTGTTGTTAAAATTTTAGCATTCATTTCTTGGGAAAAAGTCTTGACTTAAACTTCCACAGTTGATTAAGTCCTTTACATTTTTAGCAAATCCTTAAAATTTGATTAAATTCTTCACAAAGTTGCTTATATCACAGTTAGCCAAGAAGTTCACAACAGTCCATCGTTTGATTTTTACGGTAGGAAGGAAACTTTAGGTTCTTCTCTGACTTGTCATCATAAATGAACATGGTTTTCTCATGGGTAGATTTGGTAGTACAAATTTCCTGTAG